CTTGCAACCTGAATGACCTTAAACAAAAGCATACCTCACATGACTAAAATCTTTTGCAATGCACTCTACAAAATCAGGCCCTTTTTGCTAGGAGTTTCTCACTTACCCACTCCATTATGCGGTTGTTGAGGCTCACTTAAGAATTTAATCACTTCAGCTCTTTTGCCCAGCAGATTCCAGCGGTACAGAACATCGGCATACTGCTTCATGTAGTGATCATGTAATGGGAGTTTTGAAATATCAACAAATCTGAAAAAGAATCCAAACCATTTTACCGAAGATGCTTAGTTTAAGGAGGTATATCACGATATTTTAAGTTCTTTTTCTGATGTAAAAGAAAAGTAATTTCAAATCTAAATAAGTAAACCTCAAAATAATGTAGAAAAACATAAAAGAGAGAATAATAAACTAGGATGGTTATGACCGCGGAAGATGCAACAAAAGATAAACTTAGAAAATATTGGCCAACTTTTTCAAGATGCGCCGGCGGTTACCTCTGGCCCCCTCTCTGTCAAGCAACGTTGCGTTTCGTGACGCCGTCCGACGAAGCTTAATGAGAAAAGAAGTCTGCGGAATGAAACAAACTACAGTACCGTACTGACAAGAAACAAAACAAGCTTAAGTGATTGTTTTCGTCGTTTTCTGTCGTTCAGACATGCTGGCTCCAATTTCCGTATAATGGCACGACTTTGAAGTAAGAAAAAAAAAAAATGCAGAGAAGGAACTCAGCATGTCAACATCCGCAGTTTTCAACTGTAAATAGAAGTTCAAGTTCGTCTTAAGATCGTGAGAGATGATTGTTTTCCATCACTTAGATTTAAAAAAAAAAAACAATTTTGACGAGGATCGAAATTCTGAACAAAAGCCCATTGCAAACTTCTGAATCCGGATATCGCGACGTTTTATTAGGCGCGGTCTCTATTCAGGATCTAAGGTAGTCTTTCTATGAGTGCGAGAGGAAGTGAGCGTTATTTGCTTACCTACAGTCTTTCTCGTATTGCTTCCGTTGTTCTTCGCGCGGATCCTTTGTGCGGATGAACACCGGCGGAGACCATCCGCCGCTCAGAGGCAATGTGATCTCGCTCCATTGTTCCTCTACTGGACACAGATCACTCATGTGCTCTGTGACACTTCCCAGGGACTTTGGACGCTTTATAGACTATAGAATGACACAAAAAAGAAAAAGAAAAACAGAAAAAAAAACAAGGAGAGCAAGGGGTTTCCTAAAGCGAGTATATTGATTTGCGATGTTCACTTAACAAATTGACGTCAGTTTTTTATGCGTCTGACCTCTTATTGATGATAAATTGCGTCATAACATTGTCAAAGTGGCTAGGGAACCACTATAGAATGACACAAAAAAGAAAAAGAAAAACAGAAAAAAAAACAAGGAGAGCAAAGGGTTTCCTAAAGCAAATATATTGATTTGCGATGTTCACTTAACAAATTGACGTCAGTTTTTTATGCGTCTGACCTCTTATTGATGATAAATTGCGTCATAACATTGTCAAAGTGGCTAGGGAACCACTATAGAATGACACAAAAAAGAAAAAGAAAAACAGAAAAAAAAACAAGGAGAGCAAAGGGTTTCCTAAAGCAAATATATTGATTTGCGATGTTCACTTAACAAATTGACGTCAGTTTTTTATGCGTCTGACCTCTTATTGATGATAAATTGCGTCATAACATTGTCAAAGTGGCTGGGGAACCACGAGCCGTAGGCGAGTGGTTCCGCAGTTCCTCTTTCCAAGGAATCAGAGGATTTACAGAAAAAACAATCTTCACTTTCGGATATTTTGAACCTCTTAAGCACTTGAGTAAGAAGTCGAGACCTCCATACTTTTCGAAAAAAGCATTTGGAATAGCTTTTCAAGCATCAGTAGAAGGGTTTTCTTCTAACAGTCTTCCGATCCAGCTTAAACGGAACGCTTTAACTGTTATGGCAAAATTTGGAAAATTAAGACCACCTTTTCTCATTTCTTGAAAAAGAACTTCTCTTTCAATTTTATCTTTTTTGTTTTTCCATAAAAAATTGAAAAGTTTCGTTTGGACTCTTTTAACAACTTCTCGTGGAACAGTTAACATCGAGGCCGTATATACCAATTTTGAGATTCCTAACAGTTTAGCGAGTAGGGTTCTTCCCATGAGAGTGAGGTCACGAGACAACCACATGTTTAATTTGGTTTCCATC